CCTATGGAACACATCGAGGCTTTTGAGGAGATCTGCAGCTTCACTCGTGCAAACGGTGTTCCACCTGACTTCATCAAGTGCATGTTGTTCCCGTTTTCTCTAGAAGACAAGGCTTCAAGATGGCTTAAGTCACTTCCTACAGGTTCCCTCACTACTTGGGAACAGGTCAGAGCGGCTTTTCTGGGCCATTTCTACACAAGGGCAAGAACGGCTGCTCTCCGGAACAAGATCTCATCTTTCAAGCAACTTGCTAATGAGCCATTCAATGAAGCATGGGAACGGTTCAATGACACCCTCAGAGAGTGCCCACATCACGGGTTTGACAATGACCACATCCTAGGAATCTTCTATGATGGGGTGGATTGGGAATACCGAAGTGTTCTGAATTCTGCGAGCAATGGAGACTTCATGACCCAGACTACTGATGGAGCGTTTGAGCTGATTGAGAACATGGCTGCTAGTTCAGCCAATTGTATTCAGGAGAACGATCGCTCCAAGGAAGTGAACAGTGTCGGCACCCAGAAGATTGATGAGCTGTCAGCTAAGGTTGATCTGCTACTTAAGAACAACCAAGGGAAAGTCTACATCATGGAGGAAGCTACGGCTGAGCAGGTTCAGAACAGTCACGAGGTTGCTCCAGAGGCTGGAAAGAAAGGGAACAATCAGCAGGAGATCAGCTACATCAACGGACAGGGGTATGCGCAGAACAACCACTCACAAGGTGCGAGATATCAGCAAGGCTTCCCTCAGAATTTTCAGGGTAAAACATTTGTTTTCAGTCAGGCACAGGACCGGTTTGTGGGTCAGAATCAGAATCAACACCAGCAACAGTCGCAGAGCAACCAACAGGCTGCTCCAGCTACTACCAGTGGTCCGCAGGATGAGCTGCTAGGTTTGGGTATGATGATGCAGCAACTGTTGCAGGGACAGCAGATTCAGGGAAAAGCATTGCACCAGGTTACCTCAGAGATCAACACCAGAATGGACAACATGTTCACTGAGCTGAATACAAAATATGATACTGTGAGCAGCCACATAAGGAGAATTGATGTTCAGCTTGCTCAAACAGCTGAGAGTGTCAAGAGGCAACAAGGGACGCTCCTTGGAAAAACTGATAAAAATCCTAGGGCGGAGCACTGTAATGCAATAGAGCAACCGTTTGCAGAGACTATTCTGGGCGCAGAAGAGAAGACAAAGCAGTCTGCAAACTCTGGAACGACTGATCCTGACGAACCTGCTGAGACTCCACCACTTCGAGTCTATGTTCCTAAGGTCCCATATCCTATTCCACCTAGACATCTGAGGGATCCCATTAGTGCAGAGGAGCTGGAAGGCTTTAATAAGATGGTGAGGAAGCTTCCTAAAGAACTCTCATTCGAAGATGCTCGGCAGATCCGGCCATTACATTCGTTCTTCACATACACTAGAGAGACTCAAGAGGAAATTAAAGCCCTCTATATCAAGGCAATGACCACACCATCACTGAAGGTTTTGCCTAAGGTTGCTGACCCTGGTAAATTTATTTTTCCATGTTCCATTGCTGGAGTAGAATTTAAGGAATCTCTTTGTGACTCTGGGTCTAGTGTGAATCTTGTCTCAAAGGCGATTGTAGATGAGTTGGGCATTGTGGATGTTGAGCCTTCTCAGGTGAATCTGGCTTTTGCTAACTCCTCCA